TGGCATATGTACGTATGTTTTATTTTATATACAAAAATATGTATTATCACATCATTGTTTTTTTTTTATTATTTTATCATATATTGGTTTCTGTACTCGCACCTTCTACATAGCTATGGCTTTTATGGCACACCACGCTAAGAGCAAACATTAAGTTCAACTTTGTCGTCATCAGAATCACCACTACGACATAGCTGTAGAACTTCCGATAGAATGTGTTGCACCCCTTGGTATTATTATTTGAATAATTTGATTATAGTTTTTTATTAAATATTGGTAATGTTTGTTCGTAAACTTTGATTTGTTTGTGCTGTAGGACTGTAGGACTGTTCCGTATCTCTTTGTTTTCCAATTGCATATTAATAATAGTTGAAATATTTTCTAATTAGATTTGCTAACATATGGATATTTGAGATAAGAATCAAACTGATTTTTGCAAATCAGATCATTGTGAGGTTATGATAAGATGTTAAGGTACTGAAATGTTACACTTATAACAGCAAGATACAAAATTTATATGCCTATATTTACCTCTATAAGGCAGAGTGTATATTAAATATGCAACACTTCGAACTTTTCATCGGATACCCCTTTAGCAAATTTTTATTTTAATTTAACCAACACCTAAAATATTTAAAAATCCTAGATGACGAGAAGGGTTTAGGAGAATACTACTACAACCCAAAAATCTTCCCATTGATAACAAAAAAAGTATTTTTTGTTTTACAGAAGACCCAAGGTCTTCTTGTTGATGATCTGAAATTAGTATGTTTTTCTTGCAGATACCAAGAAGATAGTCTTATAGAATGCCAGAAAGTATTCTTATAGAAGAACAAAATACTATCTTACTGAATACCAGAAGATCTTCATATAGAAAGCCGAAAGACTTTATATAAGACCATTAGTTAATCTTATTGAAGAAAATGTATGTCAGAAAACCATTCCTTCTTCACATTGTATTCCCCAACATAATATGAGGGCTATCCTGAAACTTGGGTAGCTATTAATAATTTTTGGTAGTGAAATTTGGCACCAATTGGAATACAAAATTCGAACTTACAGCCAATTCGGTTCAAAATCGGTACGAGTGTAAATAATGCTCTGCAAAGATTACGATATGTGGCAAAATGCGTCTAAAGCCCTGAGAATACCGAAAATGGAATATTGTGGAACATGGACCTATATTGACTATTTTCTGCATCCGAAATGTCAAATTTCAGCCCATTTGGTTCGAGGATCCGACTAAAATCTACAATATGGGACTGGGCTCCTTTATATTTTGTGGGCTATATTCAAATATAGACCGAAATTTAGAACCCAAAATATCAAATTAGAGCAAATTCAAAAGAAAAATGTGTCTGAAATTGTTAAAATTCCGAAAATTTGGGGTATTGTTATATGTGGCCTTTATTACGTGGACCGGTAATGATAATTTTCACTTGGAAAGGTTTTCACAAAATGAAAACCACAATATCAAATTTGAGATATTTAGGATGAAAAAGTTATTTAACCCACATCTCAAATTAAACCCAAACCCAAAATCTCAAATTAAAGCCATTTCGAATGAAAAATTTGTCTGAAATCCTCAAAATACCGAACATTAGGAGAACCGCTATATCTAAACGTGGCCCGATATTGACAATTTTTGATATGAAGATTTATCACCAATGAAAAGCCGTCATATCAAATTGCAACCAATTCGGTGGAGAAATCTTCAATTTGGTGAAACTCGTCCTGTCCTGTTATATGAAGGTCATACCAAACCGTGGGTCTATACCCCCCAAAAAATACCAAAAAAGGGTCCGTATCGTTATATGGGAGCCATACCGAAACGTCGACCAATATATTATATTTGTAATGCTAAATATCCTCGGTGTTGTTGTTTCTGTAGTAGCTTATATTGTTGTGTATTTTATCTTTAATGTGGTTCTGCTCTTAACTTCGGATGCGATCTGTACCGGTTGCGTCCCAAGTGAAGATGGTGTAAGATGAGTGGGATTGGCTGGGCTGTTAAAGAGGTGTAGCATGACATATGAACCATTACCACATGCCGGACAGATAGTGGTACGGTGGCACCATTGATTCGTGCCCAATATGAATTAAGGCGTCTATACCATCCAGATCTCAGTTGTGCCAACCCTACTCTGGTTTGTTGTGGTAGCTGCTGTTATTCTGCTGCAATCGTAGGCGGGTGTTTTTCGAGGATTGTATTATCTCAAGTATTCTTGAATTGCTTTCTCAACTACATCAGTGTGAATACAATTCAATACTGCTTTAGAGGCTCATGAAGATCTTTCCTGACAAGGCTAGGTGTTGGGTGCCAATCCATAATGAGGATGGGTGTACAAAATTTCAAAGTTCTATATAAAAACCAGTAAGGAAAGTAATAAAGTCGGACTGGGCCGACTATATGATTCCCTTCACCAGTTTGGGTATATTCCACATATGTATCCCAACATGAAATTCAACGAACTTAAATCTGAACCGATTTCAACGACACTTACAGGAAATTAATTTTTTTTATTAACTTCAGTACATTGTACAAATTTCATGGGTGTACAAAATTTCAAAGTTCTATATAAAAACCAGTAAGGAAAGTAATAAAGTCGGACTGGGCCGACTATATGATTCCCTTCACCAGTTTGGGTATATTCCACATATGTATCCCAACATGAAATTCAACGAACTTAAATCTGAACCGATTTCAACGACACTTACAGGAAATTAATTTTTTTTATTAACTTCAGTACATTGTACAAATTTCATGGGTGTACAAAATTTCAAAGTTCTATATAAAAACCAGTAAGGAAAGTAATAAAGTCGGACTGGGCCGACTATATGATTCCCTTCACCAGTTTGGGTATATTCCACATATGTATCCCAACATGAAATTCAACGAACTTAAATCTGAACCGATTTCAACGACACTTACAGGAAATTAATTTTTTTTATTAACTTCAGTACATTGTACAAATTTCAATTTACATTAAATTGGACGAAAATATATATAGGAGCTATATCTAAATCTGAACCGATTTTCACGAAACTTATCACACATCATTCTATACTCTATTCTGCACGCTATTCAAAATTTCCTGCAAATCAAAAGATATATAGGGACTTTTATGCACCATTTACAATAATTTGGACGAAAATATATATGGCAGCTATATCTAAATCTGAACTGATATTCACAAAACTTAACACACATCATTCTAGACTCATTTCCGTACGCTGTGCCAAATTCCGTACACGTCGAAAGATATATAGGGACTTTGGTGCCTCATTCACCTTAAATCGGACGAAAATATATATATGGGAGCTATATTTAAATCTGAACCGATTTTCTCGAAAATTAGCGCACATCAGTCTAGACTTAATTTAGTGCGCTATGCCAAATTTTGATGTTACAAACATATGCACAAGGACATAATACCCTGTACCACAATGTGGTGAAGGGTATAAATATTGCGATCTCTATCGTTATTTCAACAGACAGACATGATTATTAATGCTATATGAGGTCGCACCGTGGTAAGTATTTCGAGATGTTGCCAACGGAATGACAAGTTTAATATACACCCCATCTTATGATGGAGGCTATAAAATTTCTGGCTCAGACAGTGGTTTAAAAATATTCTTAAAAAGTTGATCTCAATCCGAAAAAAAAAACGAATGTAAAAAAATTTTTCTGATAGTAATTCAAAAAAAAAAATATTCTTTGAAAAATCCAGGTCATAGCAAGGTGGTTAAAAAATATTTGAGAAACCCACCCTCTGATATTTGAATCATTTTCAGATTTTAATCATTGTTAAAATTGTTCATCGATTACTTACAAAGGTTTCACGCTACCTTTGTATAGATCTATGTAGCAGCAAGGACTTCCATTGAAGATGTCTGTGCATAAGTTGTTTGGCTACAAAGGTTCCGGCACAGAATATTACTACCACTTCGCAAATTGTAAAACATACTCACTTCGCTTGGAAATAAACATAAAATACATATAAAGGGATATGACCTTTGTATCCAAGAGCTATGCATGAAGATTGACAGGAATTTACAAATTTTGCTATGAAGCTTCTTCTAACCCCCCAAAATACAAAAAAAAACAAAAACAAGTCAAAACGATGTTAAGTTCGTCGGGATCAACATTTTTATACCTCCACCAAAAGGTTGACATTCAAAATATCTAATATTAATGGAAGGATCCTAGGAAAAAACTCATGCTAAGATGGGACCTTGAACATACTGAAAAAGACGATCATTTTCAGATTTGAATCATTTTCAAGATTGTTCATCGATTACTTAATACATCAAACTATATATATTAGAATCATAATCATAGACTGACTATGCCTTCAAACTGTACTTTATGTTTTCCCCCCCAAAAAAATGGAAAACAACGAAGATAATCCCAATGTAATAAAAAACCAACAACAACGAAAGTAAACAGTACAAGGTGTACAAAAGTGGATGAAGTGTATCGTCGTACATTGTGCGAGTTAATGTCATGGCACATGGACGGGACGGTAAATTTCTCTTGATTTTGTTTTTATCAGATGTGTTTTTTTTTTTTGGTTCATTCTTTATCAATATGTAAATATTTAGATCCACTATGGGTGAAAAAAAATGTTGCATACACATACAAACATTCACATATTTCGATAACATTTTTTTATTTCCATATATATACCTATATAAATATGTATGGCTGAATTGTATATATATAGTGAGGATATAATAAAATACACAAAAAACCCCAACTATTCAAAAATATACTCGTATATATGTGCATAATAAATAAATATGTATGATGATCAACTTCTGGGTTGTATGCAAATAGGGGAAGTTCTGTTGCCCCAGTATATTTCCTTTTTATTCCAGTTGCCAATGATGACAACAACATAACGACGTCATCGAAATACAAACTCAATGTGAGTATCACAAAAATAGACCATGACTTAAGGTAAAGAAACGAAGAAGAAAAATGTAACACTTACCGATTTTGAGGTACGTCCACTACCTCCTGAAGCGCCACTACCAATTGATCTACCACTTCCACTGACGCCACCGCCTCCACCAGCACCACCTCCAGTATCGCTAATTTGATTTTGTAATAGAGTTTCAATTTGTTTGCGTAGTGCTAAAATCTGGAAAAAGAAAAAAAAATCGGAATACAAATAATAGGTGAATAAAAACGAACGAAAAATTTACATAAAAATGGTACAGAATAACATGAGTCAAGGTAACTGCGTTGAATGGCGTACAATAAGTGTGAGTTATATATTTAGAATTTGACACAATTTTGAACTAGTTTTTTCCTATCGTGGCCTGAATTTCCGTGCGATTTCAATTTTGATCATTTAAACGGCAAAATGAAAAGTGGGTGAGTACTAAAATGTAGTATTACGTCGAACTTGTTATCCTACCTCCACCATGAAGTGGATATTTAAAATAATATAAATATACGGTATGCCGCACTGTTAAAAATTTAATTTCAGACACCCGTTCGATACATATATATGGAAGCTATGTCTGCATCTGCACAAATTAAAAAAAAAACACAATAGCGTCATTCTAGTCTCAATTTAATAAGTTGTGCAAATTGTCGTGTCAATCGAACAAGCATTAGGAGTTTGGTACATCATTTACCTTAAATCGGACGAAAATGTATATGGAAGTAATATCAAAATCTGAACCGATTTCCACGAAACTTATCACACATCATTCTAGACTTAATTCAGTTCGCTATGTCAAATTTCGTGCATATCGAAAGATATTTAGGGATTTTGGCGCACCATTTACAGAAAATCGGACAAAAATATATATGGGTGCTATAGCTAAATCTAAACGATTTCCACGAAACTTAGCACACATTATTATAGACTCAATTCAGTACGCTGTGACAAATTTAGGGACTTTGATGCACCATTTACCTTAAATCAGACGAAAATATATATGGGAGCTATATCTAAATCTGAAACAATTTTCACGAAACATAGCACACATCATTATAGACTCAATTCACTACCCTATGCCAAATTTCGTGCATATCGAAAGATATATACGGACTTTGAGCTATATCTAAATCTGAACCGATTTCCATGAAACTTATCACACATCATTCTAGACTTAATTCAGTTCGCTGTATCAATTTTCGGACAAATCCAAAGAACGAAAATATATATGGGAGCTATATCTAAATCTGGACCGATTTTCTCCAAATAAGTGACATGTGCCAAATTACATCGGGTCATAAATGCGATGTGCTTTGTTCACAAAAATACACGGATGAACGGACGGACGGACATGCATAAATCGACTCAGAAAGTGATTCTGTGCATATTCTCAAAAGGAACCATGGGTCTATCTGGATTCCTTTTGCCTGTTACAAACATATGCACAAAGACATAATAGCCTGTACCACAGTGTGGTTAAGTGTATAAACAAAAGCAAGTAACCATCAAAAGGTTGACATTAAAAATGTCTAATATTAATGGATGGCTCCTAGGAAAAAAACTCATACTAAAATGGGACCTTTGGAAAACTTTGGAAAATATTAATAATTTTTGGAACCGAGATGTATTATACAATGAGAATACAAAATACCAAATTACAACTAAATCGGTTGAAAAGCGTGTTTAAAAGCCCCCAAAAATACCGAATATAGGGGGTACTATTATATGGGGTCTACACTGAAACTTGAGTCACTATACATAATATTTGGTAGTGAAATTTGACACCCAATGAGAATACAAAATATCAAATTCGGTTGAAAACGCGTCAAAATACCGAATTTTAGAGGGTACCATTATATCGGTCCTATGTAGACAGGTATTGATAATTTTTGGTACGAACACACCCAATGAGAGCCCAAAATGTCAAATTACATCCAATTTAGTTAAGAAACGTCTCTGAAATACTCAAAATACCAAAATTGTGGGGTACCATTAAATGGGGCCTCGGGGTACCAATATCAACATTTTTTATAGGCAGATTTTTTACCTAATAAGAATTCAAAATTCATAATTGCAACCAATTCGGTAGAAGAATGTATATTCTTAGAAATTTTCAATACACATTACCAAATTACAGCCAATTGGGTTAAATATCGTGTCCAAAATACACATTTTGGGAAGTCAGGATATATGGAGGCTCTATCAAAATGTGAACCAACGTATTTTAATTTTCAATAACAAATTCTAGAAATACTATCTAGCATATTGCGAGCTCTAATTAACTAACTTTTAACGAACGGACAAGGCTGAATCGAAATATGACTTTGTTATGGTAAATAGTATTTTCAGGTGTTCCAAACGGAAAGACAAATTTAATAATCAATTCACCATATGGTGGAGACAATTACCAATCTTAATTTATTTAAATCTCAATATTAGAAAAATATGAATTTCTAATTATTATTCTTTAAGTAATTCATTGGTATTATAATTTATTTTTAAAAGGTGAAATGTGCCATTTTATTTTAGCTTATAAATCAAATTACTAATTTAATTAAAATGTAAATTATTGTTTTTATTTAAGCATAAATAAATTAATTTATGTTCTTGGTAATTATTAATTGAATAAATCTGGAAATATATATATTATAAATGGTACTTTGGTAATGGAGTTAACTCTCGAATAGCGGCACTTTGTACTTTTAACAAAAAAGTTTAAAAAAATCAAAATTGACTTGGCAAATATTCAATTTAGATACTTTCGAAGCCAAATGGCTAATAAGGGTATATACACATTAATACGACAAAAAGGTGTCTCATCGAAATATTGATGTTATACCCCATGTTTCTTTAGACGATATACGTTTTAGACAATTTGAAGTTGATTTACATATATCCACCCGTCTAGCTGTCTGTCCTTGCGGCTGGTGTTCACGATAACTCGCAAACGGAGTAATCCAAACTTTTCACATCGAAATATTTCTTTAAACTTAAATCAAGTTCAAAGATATTCCCCATCTGTACACTACTTTTAGTACGGCCGCCACATAATGTTCAAAATTGTGCTAATAAAGGATATATTATATTGCACAATCTGTTATCTTTTTCAAATCTATATCAAAACCGAAAAGGGCATCGAAAATGTTTTAGGGCAATATCTTCTAGAAGACATAACCTATTTAGAATTGCCAGTGGACTGATTAAAATTTCATATAAAGCCTTAAGAGGTTAGGTCCCACTGTTGGAAAACGGCGAGGATTACCACTTTTTGGGATGTATCGAAATTGGTACTAGGGTAATAATTTTCAGAAACTGTAACCTATTTGAAATTTCCACAGTGCTTACTTACTTAGCTGGCTTGTGTCGTTCCATAAGCCGAGCTTAACCCTTTGAGCCCCGAATTTTTTTCCGTAATCATAGAACAATTTTCTGTTCCCTGATTTAATGCAACTATTCTAATGTACATTCTTTCTGAAAAATAAAAGGCCAATATCAAGAAAACAAAATGCAAAATCGTCGAAAAAAATCATTTTAAATTATTTTCAATATTCTGTTTTACAAGAATCAAAAATAATTCTGATGGCAGAATTCGTACATTTCGAATACGAAGCGATTTAAATAATTTGAACTGTATACACAAATTAGTACTGTACACTTTTTTGCCCTCTTCTCTGTACTAAAAAGCTCATAACATTACCAAAAATTTGAATTTTTAGATTTTTCTCGTGATATGTGTCGTCCATAATCTGGTCTTGACAAAGGGAATCCAAAGAATGCATATCTACTAACTGTATAATAAATATAAGCTCTAAAACATTTTGTTGCAACATTGGGCCACAAAGGGTTAAAAAATATTTCCATGCGCGTCGATCTTTTGCGCAGTTTTTCAAATTTGAAAGACCATATTCGGCAATGTTGTCTTCCACTTGATCTTTCCATCTTATTCGTGGCGTTCCCCTTCTGCGCTAACCATCAGTTTTTTCACTTTTACATGCCTTCTGGGCTGGGTCATCTTCATCCATTCCGCCAACGCAGATCGGCCCATAGACCATTCTGAGAATTTTTCTCTCAAACACTCCAAGAGCTGCCTCATCTGCTTGCGCAAGTACCCATGCTTCTGATCCATATAACAGCACAGGTCGCTGATACTACCCGTAGAGTGTGAGATTGGTCTGGCGGGAAGTGGCCTTCCTTTTGAATTGCTTACTCAGACAATAGTAGCATATATTGGCCAACACTATACTCTCCAAATTTAAAAACTGATGTCATTAGTTTTATTTATGGCGGTACCAAGGTATATAAAATCTTTAACTACCTCGAAGCTTTAGTTCTCCAGTTCCACAGTCTATTGGACGGCTTGCGCGTTGATACCATCAGCTTGGTCTTCTCGCCGTTTACTGCCAGACCCACTTTGGCAGACTCCTTCTCAATTTGTTCAAAGGTGTATGTTACCGCTCTCAATGTTCGACCCATTATGTCGATGTCATCGGCGTAGGCGAGTAACATGTGTTGTTTGGTGTACATAGTGCCATTTCCGTTCACTTTTGCCTCTGTATAACCTTTTCCAGCAGGATGTTAAAATGGTCACACGACAAACTGTCACCTTGTATAAATCCTCGTTCGGTATTAAATGGCCCCGAGAGGTCCTTCCCAACTTTAACTGCTAACCTTGTGCCAGTTAAAGTTATCCTGCATAGCCGTAATGGCTTTAAACACCTCTGAACGGATATGGCTGTCGAATGAGGCTTTATAGTCGACGAATAGGTGGAATGAGTCAATGTGTTTTTCGTGGGTTTTTTCAGGATTTGGAGGATGCTGAGGTTCCAATGAGGTTCCAATCATTGGGCATGCATTCCTCTAGCCAAATTGCACTAATCAGCTGGTGCATGCTCCTTACCAGCATCTGACCACCAGTCTTGAATAGTTCGGCTTGTAACCCATCGGCACATACTGATTTATTAATATTTTTCAGTCGATTGATTGCTATTCTGACCTCATCTTGGCTAGGTGCTAAACACTCTATACCGTCATCTATTATTGGTTCTGGAGCTACTATTAGATACCAGAAGTTTTTCAAAATGCTCCTTCCAGATCCTCAGCACGCTGTCTGTATCTCTCACCAGGTTTCCTTCTTCATCTCTACAGGAGGATATGCCTGCACCAAAGCCTTCGGTTTGATGTTTTACTCGTTGGTAAAATTTTCGGACTTCATTCTGACTCCTGTACATTCCATTGTAGGAAAACGGCGAAAATTACAAACTTTTTGGTATGAAAAACGCACAGCAATCCTAAACTAGACTTCTTCCCATATTGACAGTTTCCAAACGGGGACCGCTATAGCCCTCCTACAATCCTGACCTTACTGAAGACCTAGGCCACTTGTGTACAAAATCTCAGGGCTTCGTATCGCAATTTTGTAATTGGAAATAATCAAAAGACCATGGCTTATTATCCAAAAAAATTATCTCTAATCCAGAATTTATATGCCAAAATGAATATACTGGTGGTGGGTATATTACATCCGGTACATACCGGATATACACATGAACACAAATATAAATTGATTTTGTAAAATTGAAATATGTACATACCTATATTTCAAAAAGTAATAAATGAATGTTTATCTATACGTTTCACTTATTACATAATAAATGTCCTTTTTTCAACTTCATACAAAAATTTCCTTTACACCCAACAAGATTCCAATATTCAGGAAAGAACAATATTCCAATATTCAGAAAAGATGCTAAATGTATATTCTTACCTAATCCTTTATTCCATTTAAGGTCCATACATTTTTGTAGGTCAAATTGAAACATATCCTTGCGACACTAATGGCATTCCCTTATCAGCACCAAACCAATCAGCAATTGATAACAACAAACACTTATCAGTACATAAACAATTGCTGCGGACCACAATTTGGAAAACATAAAACCACAATCAAAGATTTATTTTACAAAACCACAATTTCAAACAAAACTCCTTTTCAGATGATTTTTATTCTTGGAGTTCAAATTGCCACAAAATATCTCCAATGTCTCTCTTTCTTTGGCGATATACCTTTTTGGCGTTCAACTGACTGACGTCTTTCTACTACTATCACTACAGCGTCAAACTCTGGAGGAAAGTGAAAAATCGAATTTTCTATCTACACATATTTTGCAACTTGCGGCGCGCACCGCATCGCATCACACAGCACAACAAACGTACACACGCACGCACCCAGCCTTCCAGCTTCTTTTGCACCACTGCCCTCCTTTTGTTGTGTTGTTTCTGGTGCGATGGGATGTGCTGCACATCCAACCAAACCAAACAGCACAGAAACATTTGTGTCTCACACTCACCTCCATTTCTTTGTCGGAACATAATTTATCCAGTTCCTCTTTTTCCCTTTGGGTATCCGCCAACATGGCAATAGCCGTCTTATTGTCAATTGCTGGTGGTGGTGATCTGGGACGTTCCCGATATTCATCATCGCCAGGACCAGCAGTTTCTTCCAAAATTTCATTGGCCAAATTTGTCAATTGACCTTTAATTGTATTTAGATTTAAGTTATTTAACCAAGACATTTTAGCTCACACACACACGGAGACACGTTCACATTGATTTTCTTTCGATTCCGTTTAATTATTTTGCGGATTTATATTTTAAAATTGTATTAATTTTCTTCCAGATAACAAAATTTAGAAGAAAAAATGTTGATGATGATGGCAAAATCAAAAATCTGTCTTGTATTTATTATTTTGGTTTTTGTTGTTGTTGTTTTCGTTTTATCGTTTGCTTCGTATTTTGATGTTATTGTGTGAGGGTAATGTCAAAAACAGCTGTTCATCGTTTTTCCAATTGGGACACAAATTGGAACGAATTTGCTTTATTATAACAAAATGTGAGTTGTGGTTGTTCGTATTTTGACACGCAGAGAGTGAAGCATTAGGGTGGATGGAATTAAAAAACAAATACGGTCGTGTTAGATTTATTTTTTAACTTTTTAAAACCTACCAAATCCCAACGATGGAAAAGTGATATTTATTTGTATTGAATTTTCCAACCTTATTTGGAACTTTATCATACAATAGCGATTGATTTTGGAAAATGATAGATATATTTTTTGATGATAGATATATTTTTTCGTAAATTCTTTAAAATACTCAACGTTTCTGCGCCGTATTATATGGACCATGATGCAATAATAAGATGATGTATCAAAACTAAAACATTTGTTTTTGCCACGACCATCAGTCAAATTTTTCGATATAATATTTCACATGGTTGGCAACATTGGGCATCGAATTCATGTAGAAATTACGCACTTTGACAGTTAACCAA